TTATTGAGAATTTTTGCATCAATGTTCATGAGGGATACTGGTCTGTAGTTCTCATTCTTAGTTGTGTCTTTGTGTGGGTTGGGTATCAAGGTTATTGAAACCTCGGAAAAAGACTTTGGCAATGACCCTTCTGCTTCTATTGTGTGGAATACTTTGAGGAGAATTGGTATTAGCTGTTCCCTGAATTTCTGGTAGAATTATGCACTGAAGCCATCTGGCCCTGGGCTTTTTTTAGTTGGGAGACTTCTGATGATTGCTTCTATTTCATTGAGGGTTATAGGTCTATTTAAGTTGTTTATCTGTTCTTGATTTAATTTATGAAATCTGTTCATAAAATTGTCCATTTCCTTTAGATTTTCAAATTTTGAGGAATACAGGTTTTTGAAGTATGACCTGATGATTCTCTGATTTCCTCTGTGTCTGTTGTTATGTCCTCCTTTTCATTCCTGATTTTATTGATTTGCATGTTCACTTTCTGTTGTTTGGCAAGTTTGGATAAAGGTTTGTCTATCTTGTTGATTTTCTTGAAGAACTAACTCTTCGTTATATTGATTCTTTGTATTGTTCCCCTAGTTTCCATTTTATTGATTCCAGTCCTCAATTTGATTATTTCCTGGCATCTGCTCCTCTGGGGTGTATTGGCTTCTTTGGGTTTCAAAGGTTTCAGTTGTGCTGTTAATTCTCTAGTGTGATTATTCTCCTGTTTCTTCATGTGGGCACTTAGCGCTATGAACTTTCCTCTTAGCACTGCTTTCAAAGTGTCCCATAAGTTTGGGTATGTTGTGTCCGAATTCTCATTGAATTATAGGAAATCTTTAATTTTTTTATTTCTTCCTTGACCCAGGAATTGGGTGTTACTTAATTTCCATGAGTTGGTAGGTTTTTCTGCAATTTGTGTTGTTTTTGAATTCTAACTTTAAAGCATGGTGGTCTGATAAGACACAGGGGGTTATTTCAATTTTTTGTACCTGTTGAGGTTTGCTATGTTGCCAAGTATGTGGACGATTTTAGAGATGGTTCCATGT